TTCTGTACATTATTTGTAAAATTCTATTGTATTAGTATTATTTTTATTTTATAAATATATAAGAATATGATAAACTCTTTTATATTACAAAACACAATTTTGAGTTTGATGTTTTTTACATTTATAATAAAAGAAATACTGCCAAAATTCAAATGTATTTTTTTCTTTAATATCAGCAACGTTCTTACAGCACATAAGCATTTGTAAACATCTGTAAACAAAATAATTTCGGTGTTGACTAGTTTACAAACGAGCACTAACAAGGCACTGACGGGTAATAATGTGGAAATGTGGTCTCAGGCTTAGTTGTGTACAGGACTAGATTAAAACCTATATATTGATTTTTTTTACGTAGAAAGGGGATCTCTTGCATCATCACCTGATAATACTGAATGTTCTAGATGTAAGACAGGTTTTTTTGTGCAAATTTTCCATTTCAGCAAATAAAAACATGCATATTCTATACAATCTGTAAAACCTGACCATCCATTGCGAAGATGTTGGAATCTATTTTAGAGCTAATTTGCAGAGAAATGTATGACTATGGTGTGGTTACAGATTTCCATCCCTTCTGTTCCAGCATGGAATTTTTAATTATAGCGAATAGAAACGTGGGCCTTCTGAACAGTTTAGTACCCAAACAAATTCTGTATGACCAAAATACAGAATGATAGTATTTTTTTCCTAAAAATGGATGCTTTCACATAAAATCCGCAATTTTATTCTTAGATGAAAGAATTCACTTGGCATTCACCAGATTTATAATCAGTAAGTCTAAATATATCTATTGAAGTGGACTCCAGCTTCTAATTAAACACGTCTACTGCATCATACATTTTTGGAATTGGAAACCGTTTTATTTGTGATTTGTCAGTTTAAATTTTTTATGAAATATGTTAATAATTGTTATAATTATTAATAATTTTAAAAGTTGATAATATATAGTTATAAATGAAATATAAACAATCCAGTAAAAATTAAAAGGTAAGGCGGTATCGGTATCGTTTAGACATCGATACAAAAAATGCCATCTTTAGGTCAATGTGCCCGTATGAGCATCTAGCAGCTTATTTTTAAAAATGTTCTCATTGTGGAGGGGGACATCTCCTTCCAAACCTTTTCCCGACCCGTCCTACGGCCCACGGATGGCGTTACGCACCAAAATACAACTCTTGCTCTGCTGTCGGAGAAATCTTGATGTGCACCAGAAAACCTAAACAACTACACTACTGTGGCTCTAGTGGAGCGAATTGAGTCTCACTCAGCTGGGTCAGCTGGGGGGTGGGCTGTGGTGGGGGTCCAGGGGGCCCCCTTGAAGCCATGGATATTTGACGAATTATGGCGAATTTTTATTATTTTGATAGGCATCGAGTTACTATAATAAGACTTTCATGTAGACGCTGTTTTCTAATGTCGAAATCAGCTTCCAAAACCAAAACATTCTGAATAAAACGAAGAAACAAAGCATATCCAATGTAACCCTCAAATTTATTTTCAAATCCTCATTCTTGAAAGTGAAATTCTACATTTTGTAAATTTTGCATGAAATCTGTCAACCACGCTGTCATGGTCGAGGTTGCTTCAACAATCACTATATATTTCAAGCATTATGAGGCTATCTAAATGAGCATTTGTCATAACAGAACGCAAATTATTTTTAACTAGTCTCATTGAACTATTATTATTATTAATAATATCAAATAGTTTTATGAAAACAATGTGGTGGCTAAACGAACATTACATGTACATTTTTTTTCTTTTATTTGTTTATTCCCCGACAAAATTTACTTGTGTTCCCCGACGGGAGGGCTCTATGCTTCCTCAAGAGCGCCACCACTGAGCTACTGTAAAGGCTCTACCACTCAACCATGTGGATGTATCATGTCTTTTAAACTGAAACCATTTAACAACTTGTGCGTGTCATACCACGATGTGTGTCATCAACATATGGTTTGCTAAATCGTCATTCCCACTGGATCTGTATATCAACGATAGATTAAATGCAGCTTCTCTGCGCAGATCAAATGTGCTATCACCAATTATAGAGGGTGCTGCTTCTAAAACTGTATTATAAAAATGTATTGCAAGATGAAACAGACCTGAAAAAAAAAAAATATAAATTACAATTCAGTGTTATAATATCATAAAATACTTCATATTAAAAATAACTCATACCAATACTCGTAACAATTTTATTTCTTGCAATGAAGAATTGAGCTGTACAAGAATGTATTTTTTTAAATTCCAAGTCCATAAACCAGACTACAAAAATTGGTCTGTATAAGCATTAGCTTCAGTTGTGGATATGTGATTGAACTGCAGTTGGTTTTATGAATATTAAATGACATAATTTGAAATTTAGCTCAAATTACATTTATTCATTGAAAATTGAATTTGATGTGTAATGGTCATGTCCAAATACAACGGGTTTGAGTTTTCTGAAGTTGGGAAGACGATGTTGTCAATGGAAGTGGTTGAGGACCAGTTAGAGAGTGTATCTACTGGTCTACTGTGCCAAGAAAAAAAAATAAGCACAACTTTTGCAATAAAATATAACGAAATAAAATGATTACTTTAAAAAAAAAAATCACTAATTGTATTTTAATAATATATTTTTATAACATGAAAAATAATATATTTTATTATAAATATTAATCTTGTAGATTTGGTTTTGTCAATAATTTCCTTAAAAAATATGAATATTATATATACTTAACGAGTGATTTCCAGTTTATCTATCATCTTATAATAATGTGATGCTTAGAATGTTTTTCAGTTGTTAGAAAGAAAATCCTTTGCTGTCACAGGATTTGAACCCAGGACCCCGGAATTAGAAGGCAAGCACCTTAACCACCAAGCTACAACCACCAAAATTGCAGGATTTGAACCCAGGACAGTGAAATCGGAAGGCAAACATCAAGCTAAAGAGTCACTTCTTGACTTGTCACTGTTTTTTTTCTTAGCAAATAATTGTGAACGTAACTAACCCAAGTGATGCATTGCACGACCGATGTTGTAATTGGTTTCTTGGGTATCACCTCTTAGTTTTTCATATTCTTTTAAAAATGCAACTGTCTTTGTAAAAGAAAAAAAGTGAACATGAAAGATCCCATCTGCTATTTGGGGTTTTAATCAAGTATACTTATCAAATCAATTAATAAATCAATCAATCATTTATTCAATCACTCCATCAATATGTTAACCAAAGAATTAAAACACCAATTGAACAATCAATTTGACAATCAATCAATCAGTGTATCGATCAACTAATCAATTGACCAACCTATCATTGACCAATCAACTGACCAATTAAAAAATCAATCAATCATTTGACCAATCAATTGACAAATAAATAAATAGACCCTGTCTCTTATACACATCTAGATGTGTATAAGAGACAGCCATGAAGGAGTCGAAACGTTGATCTT